GATAATCAGCAGCACTGATAATCAGCAGCATGAGATCAGCAGCATGTGTAAACAGCAGCTTGATATCAGCAGCATATATAATAAGCAGCATAAGATAATCAGCAGCACTGATAATCAGCAGCACAGATAAGTCACATATCACCAATTAAAGTGGCATTACAGAAATTAAAGTCAGAATTCTGAGATTAAAGTCAGAATTCTGAGATTAAAGTCAGAATCCATCTAAATAATTGACTTTTTTCTGATCAGAATTAAGGTTTAAAAACATTTTTTGCTTCGTGACTTTAATCTCTTCTGTAAATTTTCTTTTGCAGTTACACAGAATTTTGTTTTGCGATCAGCGAGTTGAGTGAATTCATTTAGATTTTGTTTTTTGTGCACGGTTTTAAACACTAATCAAAGTCACGTGCATTCTTTCACTGCCCACCTCTGTCACCACGACTACATTTATGATTTAATCTCCTGCAGTGCACTGTAGAAACAATTATAGGCAGATTCAAAACCGTTTTTCAACTTTTATTATTTATCCGTGCACGTTTTTCACATTTTCATTCAGGCGCCTGCTTGTAAAATTAGTTGCACAGATTTTTAGAACGCGTTTAAAATTCAAGCCTGCGAGCCTTTTCGACTCGCGTGAGGAATCTGAGAACGCCTGTGAACAGTGTTGTAGTCGAGACCACCTGACCCGAGACCAAGTCAAGACCAGAGTGGACCGAGACCAAGTCAAGACCAAGACCTCAAGTCTTGGAGCTCCATCTTTTCACAGATTATCTGTCTTATACTAAACTGTCATCGTGACAGATTTAACAAATATGTAAAAAACATATGTAACTTTTATAAAAATATTTTTTATAAAAGTTACGTACTGCAACTTTGTTTGCTTTTGAATGAATGTATGAGCTTTTATAAAATTTCAAGAAATCAGACATTCAGTGTTTTTTTGCACAATAATTTTCACGTCATGTGACCCACTGACACAAAACTTACGTTAAACTTCTCTACTAGACCTGACAGACGAGGCACCCTCATTTATTTCTCATTTTAAAGCATTTTCTAACTTTACACAATTTATTTGTTCAAAAATCATGGTTTTCGCTGAATAACTAATTAGAAAATGTTTAAAAATGAGAACTAAATGATGGTGTCTTGTGTGTCAGGTCTATTAGAGCAGTTTAACATTAGTTTGTGTCAGTGGGTCAAATGATGTAAAATATATTAATTTTTGTGTTTGGTTTGGTAATTTGTTGACGGTCCCTAATGAACCATTGCGTCTCGGAGGAGGGGCAGACTGAGCTCGGCTGAAATCAGACTGTCTGCTTCGGATCGAACGAGAGGAACACACCGCTGGAGCCACGGAGCTCCAACGTCCAACGTAAAACTAACTTCACCGTGGTAGAGAAGTGAGACTCCAGCAGAGCACGAACAGTTCAGAAACAATTTGAAATGAGAAATTAAAGCTGTTTATTAACTCATTAAGTCGTGTTTTAGACTGCTTATTGCTGGTGGATCTGTTCTGACCCAAAGTGCAGCCGTGACTGGTTCTGATTGAGGCTTTACAGCAGACAGCTGCTCCCCTCTCTTCCAGGTACTGCGTACCGGTGCAGAATCTTTTAGTGGTACGCAGTACCAGACCGGACCGGCTTACTTTCACCCCTGGTTTCCACGTTGCGTTCTGTTGTCTGTATTGTTCTGTTGGTACAGAACCACGTGCGAATGAAAGGGGGTGGGAGTGACGGTGGTTAAAAAAAACATGTATTTAGCAATGAGTCACGTTATCGCTTGGATTTGAACCAGTACGTTTTACATCCAATAAAAACAAAGATGTTGACAAATGAACTGGACAATGTTCTGGCAATTCAGTGATTTTCCACAGTTGTGGTCTTGATTGGTCTTGAAATAAAATCCTGAGCATCAAGAAGTGGTCTTGAGTACTACAGCACTACCTGCGGACGTCTCAGAACACGCCGCTCACCTGCTAGCTGCCAACATCCTGCCCTTCCGTCCAGAATGACGTCTCTGCACTTTCTGTCTCTGCGTCAGGAACGGGTTCCCGAAGCAGACGGCCGCTCAGCTGATCCTCAAGGCCATCTCCAGCTACTTCGTGGCCACCATGTCTTCCACCATCAAGACCGTCTACTTCGTGCTGTTCGACAGCGAGAGCATCGGGATCTACGTGCAGGAAATGGCCAAGCTGGAGACGAGTTAAAGGACGGGGCACCCCCCTCCCCCTCCTCCTCCTCGTTCCTCTTCCCTTTCTCCTGTTTTGTTTTTGCCTGCAAGAAGAGAGGAAGTTGTTTACTGGTAATTTATTACAAATGAAGAAAAATAATTATAAAGGCCTGGAACTGGATTTTGCGTTATCGTTTTTAATTCCTAAATTACTTCTGACGCCTGGTGTTTAAACGTAGCTCATCCTGCGGTCTCTTAACTCGAACAGTGCCGCACAATAATACCGAATCAGCAATTAAAACTTTAGGTTATGTACAATTATAGACTAAAAAAGATAGCGAGGCTTCCGGAGAAGTCCGATCATACGGGTTGATGCATGTAAAGATCTTAGAAACGTCTCCTCTCTCTCGAGCTCAGCGTCACACTACTTTTACGTGTGTTGTACTTTTTGGTATCGGTTTGAAGCATCTGTTGTCCTGTAAAATGGAACGCTGAAGATAAGTTCACGTTGGTCTGCTTTGGTCTGTAGGAGGCTCGAATATCGGTGTAATAGGAAGAGTTCTTGTGTTGTGCGTTGCAAATTTCTCGTTGCCTTTGTTTAGACGGGCAAAAGTATTTTCTGAGTGCTGCAAAAATCTTGAATATCTAATTAAAAATAATAATAAGTGCAATGGAAATGCCAGCGTTGTGTTCTGAACGGCATCAATCAGTCAGTTTATGGTAAATAAGGAGATTTGAGGTTTTTGCAGAGCACCGATTGTTTCTCTTGTGTGTTAATGTGTTCATGTAGATGGGAGTATTTGTGAAACGTTATGGCAAAAATATCGGACCGTAGCAGAGTTTAACTTTTCATTTTCCACATTCAGGCGCGAGATTTGTTTTAGTCTTTGTTCCGCCAGAATTTATACTTTAATCTTGCAGGAATCGGAGGTTCTGCTGTTCTGCTCAGCCGCCACCAGGTGGCGCTCAGTGACCGTGCGTTGGATTTTTTGATTTTTATTTTTTAAACACAGCAGGCCTCTTAAAACAGCTGGTCGATTTGAGTTGGATTTGAATTGGAGACTGATGGACATAAACCAGAGGAACAGGACTGTTCTGCTGCATTTGGACTTTTCAACAGCCTAACTTTCTTATGAGAAAACAAAAAATTGTAAATTACTTTATAAAGAATTGCTATAATTGATGATTCTACAAAATGTCTGTATACACTCCGGTAATAAAATACTTTTGAAAACAGCAAAGGTGTGGTCCTCTGGAAATAATTCAGTTTTTTTTATTTGTCGCTGAAGGATGTGAACTGAATGTGTGCGAGTGTAAATTCAGTTCTGCATGAAACGAGTTAAATTGAATAATAAATTCATTTTTGGTGAATTACAATCAGCATAAATGAAGATACAGATAAAAACAGATGCATAATATTTTGGATTTGGTTGACTCCCTGGATCTGACATCCCAGCAAGCCATACTGGGAGCTGGGGGGATGATGGTTTTTAAACTACGGTTGCTTAATTTTGACCTGTTAGTCTCACTTAGTGTGAAAACAATTACAGCTTCTCGTAAAACAAATTTAGAATTCAGAGACAAAACAGCCCAATGAGATGTTTTTGTTCCTGTTTCTCTGCTGAAACGATAAAAACATTTAGAACAGGCCACGCCCTCTGATGCACCTGTCCATGTTGTACCTCCCTCTCACTCAACAATAGTGGACGTTTCATCCATTCAGGCTCTTGAATCTGAATATTTGCGACATGTTTCTTTGTACATACTGTCGTTTCTCTGTAGCAGCTCAGGAGAAGAGCAGATCCTCTGTCCACAAGTCCTTGAGTTCAAATAAGGAGCTTCAAAACTGCGTTTCTGAGACGGCAGCAAGTTTTACAGAAAAACTCCTCATGCAACCCTGAATCCAAAATGTTTGGACTGTGCAAAAATTTAAATTAAAAATAAAACGCAATGATTTTTTAAATCTCAAATTTTATTCACAATGGATCTTAGGAACCACACCAGATGTCCAAACTAAGAAACTACCTTTTTTAATAAAGTAAACCTGGTTTTTATTACAGCAATGCATCTAAAAAAAATACAAAACTGTGGCATTAAGGTTGCAAAGTACCACATTTTTTGCCGTATAAGTTGCACATTTTTGCATAAGTTTCCAAGTTGTGTGACTTGTACACCGAAGCGACTATCCATCCATCCATTATCTTTACCCGTTTATTCCATTTTGGGTCACGGGGGTCGCTGGTGCCCATGTCCAGCAATCACTGTGCGAGGGGCGGGGTACACCCTGGACGGGTCTCCAGTCCATCACAGGGCCACATAGAGACAAACGAGACAAACAACCATTCACTCTCCCACTCACACCTAGGGACAATGTAGAGTTACCAATCAGCCTAACATGCATGTTTTTGGACTGTGGGAGGAAACCGGAGCACCCGGAGAAAACCCACGCATGCACGGAGAGAACATGCAAACTCCACCCAGAAAGGCCCCTGGACCGGGGTTTGAACCAGGGACCTGCTCGCTGAGAGGCAGCAGCTCTACCAGTTGCGCCACCGTGCTGCCGAAGCGACTAATAAATGTTAATTTCCCCCATATTTATAATCCAATTTTTGTCTTGAGATCTGATGATTTCATTAATTCTGACATGGAAAATATTGAACACTACCATTTTCAGCCATTAGAGGGCCATCAACACATATGGCAAGCAAAGTGTGTCATTAATAGGTAAAAGTGGCTATTAATGACACACTTGGCTTGCCATAACAAGACACTTTCGTCTCGCTCCGGAACTCCTGGAGCAAATGTCAAATCAGCTGAATTTCACCGCGACGCTCAGGTGAACTGCAGCTGATTTGACCATTAAAGTGCATTTGTTAAGGAAGAGTTCAACTGAGCCACACCTTTGCTATAATTTCAAGCAAACAAATCATAGTTTTTAAGTGTTAAATTCTTGTTAAAGTCCTCCCGTGCACGTTTCCGCGGCAGCCATTTGACAGCCAATCGATTTTTGGCACGTTTCTGGGTGGTCAGCGGTGACGCATAATAGATGCGAATTATACGACGAAGCAACTTAATTGTGGGGTTTTTTTCCACTTTATTAGACATTTTTGGACTGATGTGACTTATATGGCGAAGCGACATGTATGGCGGCAAGTACGGTAAGTGGTACAATTATAAAATGGCTGGACGAGCAATTTGCAACTAATTCGGTTAAATGGCAACAAGTCAACAAAAGGAGTGGATAAAAGAGAAATAAAAATGAGCAAAGGTTCACCAGTCTGCAAAAAAACTGCATCAATAAAATAAACAGTTTCAGAATGATATTAAATAAATCAATGGGAAATCATTGAATCTTCTGCAGCTCATAATATCAAACCATAAAACATACGGAGAAATCCAAATGTGATCAAAAGTCAAATATGAGAGTTTAACATCCAGCCAGTTATCAGTGAACAGGTTAAAAACGTGCTTCTCTGTTGGTATGGGGGTGCATTAATTTGGCACGTCTGGAAATGCAGGCTTTAGAACAAGATGTGCGCGTCCACGTAACATTTTCAGAGGTCTTGCATATTCCAACAAGACGATGCTAAACCATCTTTTACAAAAGCTCGTTTTCTGCTGAACGGAGTGGCCTGCAGTCCAGACCACGGCCCCGGATGGGACAACGTTCCCTCCGGTTCCCTCCGTTGTGACGAACACCAAACCCGTTCTCATGAAACACTTTCTTTCACTTATGAGTAAATAATACCGTCCAGCGAACACGTTCATCTTCAGACGAATATTTGTGTGTTTTGATTTTAAAAGAGCAAATTAAACCTGAGCTGGATTTGAAAAGCAGGAAAAAACAAAATGAGAGTCGAACGGTTTCAGGCGGTGGTCGGTGATACGCTGCCAGGGAACAGGGAGGACCACGGAGTCAGATGGGGGTCAGTTTCCCAGCCATCCAGGAAGGCCAGGACCTGAGACCTCCTCTGAGGGCGCCCATCTGATTTTTAATCCACAGGAAATACAGGCAGGTTTCACCCCCCCCCCATTCCCACTCCCCCCATCTCTTTTCCACCATCCCTTCATCTTCACGATGCTTCTATAGTGGCCCGAAAAGCCCGGTAAATTAAAAGCATCTGCACGGGCAAGGGCCAATCCGACGGCCGCCTTTCCCAGAGCCGGCGCAGATGAAATTTTATTCTTTGCACGAAAAACTTACCGGGGGAGGGGGTGGGAGGGAAAACAGAAAATAAAGTTAAGCAAACAATGTGGGAAGATCAAGGAGGGGAGAAGATGAGGAGTAAGGAGCTGGTCAGAGATCAGCTCTGCTTTTCATTGGCCTCATAAGAAGACGATATTACGTTCTTTGTGTCCGGAGCCCGAACAACAACAAGTCTGCTCCCAACTGCTACTGGATTTAAACTGGGGGGGGCTAAAATCATCCCATGGAGCCTGGTGGACACTGACGTGGTCCAAACGGGTCAGTGCACGCTGAAACTTCAACCCTTTCGTATCAGAAAGTCACATTTTGAAGCCGATCCAAGTGCATTTAATTTATCGTTTAACTAGATGAAAATGCAGTTTGAATATTTACTGCAGAAGGACTTGCTGAAAAACAGCTGAAATTGGCTAAAACATCCTGAAATGTAGCTGAAATGGAAGACTAAGCATACTTTAGCAGAAGAAAGCAGAAAAAACACATTTGCTAAATTAGGTTTAAAAAATCAGAAATGGGAAATTAGCTAAAAAAGCTGAAATTAGCAAAACAAAACAAAAAGAAGCTGGAAAGACAGAAAGATGCTTAAACTACCAGAAGGAAGCAGAAAGAGCTGAAATGGGCTACAAAAAAATGTGGCCTTAGCTGAAAATGCTAAAATTAGCATAAAACACCAAATAGTAGCTGAAACTATCAGAAAAATAGCTGAAACTAGCATAGCAAGCTGAAATCAGCAGGAATAAATTTATTAGGCTGAAAGTAGCAGAAATTACCACAAAAATTTTGACTTGATCTAAAAACAGCTGAAATTAGCTAATAAATGCTCAAATTGTAGCTGAAAAGGTAGAACAAGCATGAAGTAGCAGAAGAAAACAGAACGAACAAGTTTGCCCAATTAAGCTGAAGGAAGCAGAAATGAGCAAGAAAAGTGGAAATTATCTGAAAAAAGCTGAAATTAGAGAAAAAAAAAAAACTACTGG